GAGCACGAAATCCAGTGCCAAGTGCCAGTAGCATCGTTACTTTCCATGTTATTTTTTCCAAAGAAAGAGATTCTAACGGATGCCATTTTTTTAATTCTGTCAATACTGGAGTTACATCCCAGGTGTCTGAGTACTTTGGAGCAGGGGGCCTTAAACGATACACACCTTTGAAGAATCGTTCCAATTCTTTGGAATTTTGAAGTTCATTGTTGTTCAAGAGTGATATGGCTGAGCGCATAGAATTTAAAGTGCCATATTTAGCTCCTTTTTGCAATTCTTGCGTTAAAAATTTTAGTATGTTTATGCTTTTGTTGCAGAACGAATCTATACTTTCTTTTTTGCAGAACTCTGTCCATTTCTTTAAGGCTGATGTGTATTGTTTAAGTGTGCTCTCTGATAAGGAGTTGATCATTATGTCCACTGTTGATTTCTCATATCCCCTTCTTTCAAAGGCTCGCCTGATAAGGTCCCTGCTATCAACGTCAGCTGTCTGGCCAGCGGATGGTGATCTTTCCTGTTGGATGAAATTAATAATGAGTCTGATGGTTTAAAATAGATTGGTTTTTTTATCAACATTTTCATGAATGTAGGGTACCATGGTTGCGTTTCCCAAGCAGGAACGACCATGATTCCGGTGCATTGTTCTTCCTGTATCTTTTTAAGGACTTTTGCGATAAGGGAGAATGGTGGGAAAGCATACCAAAACCATCTTTACCAGTTTGTTGTAAACGCGTTAATAACGTAAGCTTGTGGGTCTCGTTGCCATGAACAGAAATTGCTGCATTTTTTATTTTCATTAGAGGCAGAAAGATCCATGTCGGGTTTACCCAGTTTTCTTACTATTTGATTGAAAGCTTCGTTTGATAATTCCCATTCGGTATCAGCGTTTTTAATTCTAGAATCTTTATCTGCCGGATTTTCTTTTGACGCCACGTACTCCGCGAATAACCATATATTTTGTTTCATACACCATGTCCAGATTTTTCTTATTATTTCATTGAGATAATCATATTTAATTCCACCCATCTTATTAATATATGAAATTGCCACAAGGTTATCTATTCGAATGAGTATTTGACAATTTTGATCAAATTTTGAGAATTCTTTCAGAACCAAATAGGCTGCTTGTAACTCTAAGAAATTAATATGCTGGTTTTTTTCCTGGTCGTCCCAAAAACCATGGATATGTTTCCTTGGAATCAATTCTAAGATTTCCTTCTTCTGCTCCTTAGGCAGTCCTAGACGGAGGTATTCTGACACTCTTAATGCCACGTCGTCGATTAGATCCAATTCGTTCGACGTCTTGTTTTCGCGTAGCTCGCCTAGACAAGAACTCACTTCCTCTTCATTGACGTTAGCTGCTTTGACTGAGGCCTGTTTAACCTTGTTTGGGCTTTGATTTTCCTCGCTGGATTGCGTTGCATCTACTGTAATGGCTGGACGGAGGTATGTCCAGAAATAAGATAATAATAACCGAACGACCCGCGCATACAAGCATACAAGCAGCAAGTGCGTGCACACAACTCACCGACGCGCCCGCAGTGTGTGCGTGAAGACACGAGCGGTCCATACGCACCGCAGGCCCGCAGCGTCTACGCTCGCATAGAGACAGCGCACACACACACACGGACGCCCCCGCAATGTGTGCGTGAAGGCACGAGCGGCCCATACGCGCCGTAACGTCTACGCTCGCATGAGGACAGCGCACACACACGGACGCCCCCGCAGTGTGTGCGTGAAGGCACGGGCGGCCCATACGCGCCGCAACGCTTATACAAACGCAGAACACGCGTGGAGGCGCGAGCGGCCGCCCACACACACATAGAAATGCTGCTCACACGGACACAGCAATGTCGGCACATCATAGCGCGAGGCACACGCGAACGACGGAATACGCACGCGAGTGCCAAGGCCGAAAGAGCGGCGAAATCACACGCACGATTGCGAGTTAAACTAGCACCTGCGGATGTACACGAGCGGATATAGAGCCGCGAATTCACGAGAATAATTCGACGACAGCAAGGGTTCACACGTGCAGCAATAAAGATCGCGCAGCGCAGCACATGTGGTCGAAGCCGGCGTAAAGGTGGTGACAGGCCGAATCGGCGAACAAGACCGGAGGCAGGGGCCGTTAAAAGATGTAGTTTATGATCGACGGCCCGAGCGAGCTTCGTATCTCGTCAATTCGTCAATGAGAGGCCCGAACCGGCCTAATTCCAAGAGGCAACTTATAAACTTTACATTTTTTGCGACAGAATGTAGATCACCAAGCAGGACCGGACGAGGAAAAAACGGTAGCAGGAACTAAACACCCCCTCAACAAACATGTGCAAGTCGTTCACAGGACCAGACCGGACACGGAGTCCGATATAAATACCGGGCCACAGCACGGCCCCGACACGCACTCCGTGACCGAACGCGAACCAGGGCGGAGCTACGCTCAATCGCGCTACACCTTGCTCTAATCGGGACTTAGTCAATTTTTACACGACTCCGTATTAAGCACTTAGACGAATTCGCGAGCCATTCGAATTCGGTAAATACAAAGTAAAGAGCACCGACTTAGTTACTCGAGCAGTGCGCGAGCTTGTTCAGCTACATCCACCGACGCCGTGCCGACCTCGTCGACGCCGATCTCGCCGACGCCGATCACCCTCACCGACGCCGCGCCAGCCGAGGCCAGACCGTCACGGGCCCGCCCTACAACAGCCACCACACCGACGCCTTCAGTCGCCGCACCGAACGTCGCCGCCGAAGATAAGAACACCGGTACATAGTAAGCAACATTTATATAACTAGGATTAAGGTTAAATAAACAGTCTTGTGTGTGTGAATCCAAGTCCCTGTGTTATTCATTTCTCCACCACGCCCCACCCAAGAGACATAGAGTCGAGTCATTAGCTTTCAGTCAGCTGGCATATTTTATTAATAATAAATAGATGGTCAAACTAGCCATCACACTACGCATAAACAGAACCAAGACACGTTACGATTAATCACCAAGTCTATGTACTTGTAGTTTTAGGTTACATAACCCCCATTTCTTAGGTGGTCTCTCTCAGCTATGTCTCTGCTTATACAAGAGCTCAGCTGGCATACATTGCGTAATTCGCGATAATACTTTGCTTGCTTTGCCTCGACTTATGTACGAGTTCAGCATCGTATCCCTTGTAATGAAGGTTATTTTTCAGCTCTGCCTCGACTTGGGTTCGAGTTCAGCTAGATTTTGCAGCGATTCGATTACGTATTCGAACTAACCTGATTCGTCAGCATCTGTTGCCATTATGTCATTTTGTTGCAACAATCTCAGCTTCTTTGCCATGGCTGCCATTTCTTTCTCAAGCTTTTCGACCTCTGTGGACCGTTTACGCTTCCTTGGCTGTTTCTCTTTCTCGGATGATGATCCGGAGCTCATTTTATCGAGAATATTGCGACTTAACTCTACGACGCACAAAGGAATAATGACGGTAGTGCGCCACGGGTAGTGGCGAGATAGAGAGCAGAGCACCCTATGGTACGAAGTTTTGAGTCTCTGAACGAGTGCGACATCTACGTCGAAGGAGTAGTACTACCAAGTAATCTTGAGAACAAGGAACGTAGAATAATTTATGCAAACGCTTCATTTTATATTTGCAGGTTATTTGCATTGTCAGGATAACAGGGGCTTTGAGTCGATCAGAATTAACATAATTGTTGATGAGCAACGTTGAGGACCATGGTACCATGTTTTTAATAAAAATTTCAAGTACGAAAACACATATTACTCGGTGATAGTCAGCGACTTATACGAAATATGTAGCAATCATTTGAAAATTCGCTCGGAAAACAAGTCGAATGATAGATTATTTTTGAAAATGGAGGATGGAATTTGTAAAAATCAACCAATTGGGGTTAATACAATTGCTCGCATACTACAAAAAATTGCTACTTCTTTAAAATTGCCAGAACCAAATTTATATAAATTTGGATAAAAATATCAAAATAAACATTATAACTCATGACAATATGTCAATTAATTTAAGAAGTGCAAAAGAAGATCCATATATTATTCAAATTGTTTTTAATTTTGTTCAGTTTTTGTAAGTTTGTTTAAGTTGCGATTTTGTTCTTTTTATTAATAATAATGAAAAAAAGTTGCCACAGAAAAGCGTGTCATAAATGTGAACTTATGCCACGCAGTGCTATGAACAAATTTTTTGTGGCATCTTTCCCCAAATGCCAATTTTTTTTAACGGTTATTAATAAAAAAGTTGATGACTAACGTTTATGTAGCTGCAAAAAAAATCTCTAAGGTAACACTTATCATTAACAATTTCCGCTTAAACATTTTATTGAAAACTAAACGAATATTTGCACATTGAACTTAACGAAAAATTTGTCACGAGCGAAATCATTACCTTTGACGCTTGATAATCGAATTATAATAGCAGTCAAAAATCAGCTATTTCGTGTCGATGTAATCGGATTATCTAAAAGCAAATTCGAATAGGTCACCTATCTAAATTTTCTTTCTTAAAACGATAATATAGCAAGGTAACATCTTCCCCGAGCTGGCGTTTTCCCAAACTTTATCTTATGTTTAAAATTAAGCTAACATAAAAAAACAATTTTAAATAATGGCAATAACGGTTTAATACAGTTCAAGGGGTAATTTGTGGTTTGCATACTTCAGAACTCTTACTACAGAATTTGGTGGTATTTTTGGTTTTTAACACTTGATACGTAGCGTCTCATATATGAAGAAGCCTCATGCAAACAGTTGTATTTCAATGAACAATCAAAATTTTGCATTTTGGAACAATGTGTGTATAACCCTTTTAAACGGTCATACGGTTAATTTTCCTGTGAATTGGATCGTAATATTGAGTTTGAATACTGAAAAAATCTACAATGTTACACTGAAACACATAAAAATTTTCAAGGACGATAACATTAAAGGAAATCACGTTGAAAGTCAGTACCAAAACCGGTAAATTTGGCTGTTGGCGGGTTAAACTTACCTCTGCTGCAAATGAAAGACGTTTTTTTTCACCACCTGATAAAATTTTCGTATGCTCAGTGGCACCTATTTTATGATTTTTACGAGAAAGTAATCCAACTTCTTGCAAAATGTCATTGATCGTTTTTTCCAAAGAAGAGTTATCCATTTTATATTCAAGTCGCAATTTCGCCTGTAAAATAATAATCAAGTGATTTCAATTTAAATTAAAAAATGTTTTTATCATTCCGAGAAATTTGTGACAATAGAGAAACAATAAAATTTCTATCTAACGAAATTACCATAGCTTATACATAGCCACGTACACAGTTTGTGTAAAAAAGACATGAGTAACGGCTAAACCAGCACGAGTTTATTTTTTTGCGAACCCTGCGCACCAAAAGCTGGGCACTCATTAACCACAAAATTTAATGGAATTGTAAGCGAAAAATGCTGAAATAACAAGATTGATATTACATATGAATATGCGGTATTTTACCACGCCCCAAAGTCAAAAAACGCTTTTTGCGCCGTAAAAAGGGCAATAAAAGGCATTCTGCCCGATATTTTGCATAATGCTTATGTTAAGTTTAAATTCGAATTGAGCGCGCGCGCTGTTTCACCGCGCCGCCACCGCGCATGCGCGACGATCACATCAGCCTGCGCGGTCGAGCGTTCGGCTCAGTCGTGTCCCAACCGAGCAGGTGATCACATCTCCGTTGTGCGAGCTCTCACTAAGTGTATTGTGACAATATCACAAGTCTGATTAATAAAGGTGAATCACAGTGAAATTTGTGTTTGTGTGACAATTTATTGTGCTCCTTCCCGAACCTTCGATTCCCAGAAACGGACAAATTAACAGCTTATTTATTAAAAAACGAATGCGATCATGCTTTTTACGTAAAAATCTCGTGACACAACTAGCAAAGTTCATAACAACTCTAAGTCAAAAAACAATATTTTTATAGTCCGTTCAAAATTAAAGGTAAGAATTATATATTTAGAAATACTCACAGTAAACCACATCAGCTCAAAAACTGTCATAGTTTCTATGAAAATGTCATCCTGGTACATAAAACTACTAATTTGTCTCATTATTGTCGACTCAGCTGTTTGACCATTAATTCTTATATCACCTTGTATTGTTACAGATGCTAAAAAGTAAATGAAATATATGACTTATTTTTTATAATTCGGATTATGCATTCACTATATTTATTTAAGTTTCCATGACTTTGAAGGGGCATATGTATCTTATACGCAAAATTATTTTTATTGGATTTTCGTATAAAAAAATGCCATGAAAAATAATGCTTTCGAAGTAGTGACCTTAACAATAAGAAGTGTACATTAACCTGGTGCTGAAGTTCAATCAGTACCTTCTGAAGATGATGACAAGCGACTAAAAACATGATTTTTCAGAAAACGCAAAAGAAGAAAAATGCAACTCGTAAACTGTACAAAGAAGGCTTACATCAAGTGCTGTATCTCAGTAGAAAATAAAATTTTTGGAGTTTTGAAGAATATAACAGAAAAGGAAAGAAGAGCTCTACTCAAAAGCCCAATTAAAAAAGAATTTAAAGTATATGTGTCCCATTAAAAAAAACTTAAAACTTGATATATTCATAACAATTTATAAAATATGACCTATTTTATGTGGGCCAATTGTACAAAATTCAAATGGGTTATCTCTGTTTTGCTTATCGAAAATACGATATTCATATAAACTTGTTTACAGTATTAAAAAAACAAATTATTATGTAACAATTGCTGTGATGGTTACAATAAATAATTATAGCCGTGATCTTGTCCGAATCAGGGCGTAATCCTTCGTGATCCAGTATCACGCCCAAAAATTTTATCAAAGCTCAGCAAAGAAATTTTTCTTGCTATATAGCGTCAAATTTGTGTTGTTGATGAGCTTCAATACAAGCTCCAGCTTTTCTAACTGCTCCTCTCCAAGTGCTCCTTCAATGCTCATAAACGTACTCGACATGATGATTATGTCATCGAGGTACGAAAACGCAAATGGTTTTAGGTCAAGACTTATAATGACTTATAACCCTTTATATGGGTTGCTGTAACGTAGCAGGTCCGCAAAAAACTCCAATCGACATTCGTAAAAACTCGTACAGACCGTGGTAAACGGGGTGTACTCGTACGAGTCTTCGTAAACGGACACCTGGTGGTATTCTGTCGACATATCCAACGTCGTAAAATAATTCGCATCTTGCAACTTACGTAATATCATGTCTATATCATGAAGCGGATAGGTGTATCGTCGAGAATTCAGAATTATTCTTAGATCTCATAGTTATTTGTAAAAAACGGGTGATATAATGAACACACGCATTTAAGAGGAAAAACTGGTGAAAAAACCTCTCTTTATTTGAATGAAATACCAGGAAAGGGGTTTTTACTTTTTTGCAAAATGAAATTCTCCTCCTTGCACGTACCATTATGTTATAACAAAATAGCCGCGTTATAAGCCTCCAAATATACGCACCTACAAGAAGCCACCTGTCTTACGACCCAACATACTCAGTCCCAATAATCAGCCACAAGCGCGGGGCATAAGCTTCGGCCATCCACAGCCACGCAGATGGCACGCCCAAGCCTCATGTATGTGCGAGGAACCACGACGCATCAGACGAAAGCGGCCACACGCAATCACACGCAAGCACATGTGTGCACGAGGAACCACGATTACAGATAAGACTCAATCGCTACTTACACAGCAAAACAGCTAAGTAAATAACTAACGGTATAAGGTAATGCCTACGTGACTTGCTGACCCCCTCAGGTAACCGCCCGAACAAAGGGGGGCCTATACTCGATCGATCAATATACATCCGGAGTCCGAAGATTTCTAAGAAAGAGCATCTGTGTACCAAGCAGTTGTCACATTACGCGAATATGATTACAAAAAGTAATAAAAGGTAAAT